TGGCACTGCTTCTGATCAGCTGGGTAACAGTTCACAAACTCATGTGTCTTTTGAATTGTAATTCAGGTAGCGACGTACCAGACCTGCTGTTGCGATCATTCATCTTGCTTGATCCCATCCTGAAGAGAGATCCCCTGTATTACTGGGGTGGAGTTTGGAAATTTTATGCGCATGTAGGCAAGGCCATTTCTAAGCAGAAAATTGGTAGTCTGCACATTAGCAGCAAACATCCTCAGGAAAATACTACTTCTTACTCAGTTTGGTCGCCGTGTTAATATCAGTATTTGCAAATTAATTATTCACTTAAAATTGAATTTGAAATATATTATTCGCACATTTGCACGGGATATCCTTACAAAGTTACAGCTTCCTAGCTTGACTGGTTGGAAAATCGCTTTTCGTCTTTGGTTTGTCCAAATGTATGCTAAAGATCATTTTAAGGCTTCTGTCCTATTTATGGAAGGTAAATATACCTATAAAGTGAAAATGCTCTAATCAGCTTGGTTCCCGGACTGGCATTTCGCCAGTGATGACGAAGTTTCAACTTCGATGTGCCCGTGCACGTGGCGTGGGCATGCGTTGAAGCTGCATTTGTAGACTTTAGCTCATCCTGTGAAATTTCAACTTCCTCTCTGCTCTGGTTCTCCTGATCACTTCTCCACCAAAAAATTTACAAAAATTCTTTTAGGCGTCCGTACGTGAGTCCTAGGTTTACGTGAACGTTGATTTTAAGCTGTTTGGACAGCGCTTAGGCTAGGAAACGTACATGGAGACGTGCGCTTATATTCATTTCAGCATCCTGTGGTTGCTGATTTGAATGTAGGTGTACGTTGATTTTCACATGAGTATTTCTAGCTCGCGTGCCATCCAGAGAGCTTAAAATCAGTGCTCATTTTTGCCTGGGTCTCACGTATGGACGTCTAAACAGTATGTAAATTTTTTGACGGCGAAGTGATTTCGAGAAGCGGATAGAATGGGAAACGGAAAATTCATGCGGATAATCTCTGCCCATCTATCCGTAAAAGTTTTTAAATGTAATTGTCACGCACATCTACGTCACGAGTACCGACATTTCGAAGCTGGAATTCAGAAACTATTGGCAAAATTTCAACATGAGGATTAAACTGAATTGATTGCCCTATTTTAAGAATATTTTCATCGGTGCGCGAACACCTTGGCACAAATTTCGGCGCACGCCTGTGTGAGATATTTGGACATATTTGTAACGGAAAGTGATTTCGCCAATCAGTTAAGCTAGAAAGCTAAAATTTTACGAGAATATTCTATGCCCGTGTGTGACCGGAATATTTTAAATTCACCTTTAGAGCACGCCTAGGCTTGGAATAAATGGGTATCAATGCGTTTGCGGTCCTGTTTATGCACTTTTGCGCAGTTATGCAAATACAAATAAATGGCCAACGCACGGGCTGCCCATGCGAAGATGCGTTTTTTGCAGAGTTCCCCCGCAGTTTTTGTCGCTACTGGTGTCGGTTTTTCGGCAGATGCTTCTAGCTGAAAGAATTTCAGATTGGCCGCCAAAACTGTCGGGAAAAATCCCCTCAAAATTCCAATCTTCTAGCTTCTCACGTTCTCGAGTAATTAACTTACCCGGAAAAGGAATTTTTCACGGGCCTATACGTAGGTACCACGCTTACCCGCGGGCAGGGTTTGAACTCGTTAATACCCA